CGGCTGCGCGGAGCTGCAACCCCTTGGAATCGAGAAAACAGGTCGCAAAGGTACTGCATCTCGATTTTTGCGATGCCCGGCCGCCCGCGCGGGCGGCCCCCGGTGTTTGTTCACCGGGAAGGGGACATGGACGATAATACAGCCGACTGGACGCTGATTCTGGCCGGGCCCGTCATTCTTCCGGACGGCTACCCCAGCCTAGAGGCAGCTCCCAATATTAATCACAAGCAGAGCCAGTTTTGCACGTTGGGGAGATATTACTCTGGCGGTTCGAACGGGTAGAATGCATAATCTCTGCTCTTACCGGGTGGTAAGTAGAAAGAAAAGGAACAGGAGGAACGCGCACTTGAAGTGCTTCAAATCCAACTACCTACCAAGGGGTTGGTTCCCTCCAGTCGCTACTGTGGATTGCCTGACGAGGATTGATGTAATGTAACTAGAGATTGGACCTTCGATCAACAAGTTAAAGGAGAGTTGTAGTGAACTCTTGGATGCAGTTCTTACAGCACGTTGGTAAAACACCAGGCCTGCACGATCGGGACTCATATAGTTGTGAGATGAGCAATAGGATCCTGGTAAGGTAGTTAAGTGGCAATAGGCAGGGAGTCCCTTAGGTAACCTCGGCCTGTAGCAGGGAGTGCAGTTGAGAGGATTCAATGAGACTGCTCCAGCACGAACATGAACATAAGGTACGGTAGTAATTTGGAAAACGAGACAGGAGTTCAAACCCAGCCAAACGCAACAACGGTCCCCTGGTCCTTCCATATATTTTGTTTGCCCCTTCCAATGGCATACCCCATCCCGCTCACAACTCTCGAGTTGTGTCTCGAATCCTCCCGTAGGTCATCGTTACTCAGGCCACGCCAATTTGCTTGACCTGAGGGGCTCATCGTGTATTTCGTCGTAAGTGTAGGCGCTTTCGTCGTCCGAGTCCCGGGTCCGTTCCCGCAGATATTCGGTCGCTTGGCCGGGGGCCCAGTCGCCAAGGTAATCGAAGTGCTCCGCTTGACGCAGAAGTCTTTTCCTCTCCGATTTGGACCGAACCCCGAGACCCAAGAACAGTTCCTCCGAGTCTGGGGTAACCTCTGGCTGTGTGCTTGTGCAGGGATAGTACACGATGTGTGCCAGAGTGATGACACGCACGTGGTCTTCCGACATGGAATAGTCTGGGAAGAACCTCTCCAGCAACGCTCTCTCCTCGTACGTGACGAGCCCCAACAGGGCGAACACCCGGTCTCGGGGATCTGTGGACTGTGATCGGTTGTATCTGGCAAGGAGGTCGTAAAGCGGCTGCAGGTATTCGGGGAACTTGTCCACGTGCCGGTTCATAACAAGGGTCAGGGCGCGGTATGAAAGCGCTGCGGTGTTCATCGTGTGCCCGGGAGCTCCAAAGTCGGGATCTAACTCGTCAACATCTGCCTCGCGGCACAGTATGTCGCGAAAGTCATCCCAAAATACCCGGCTGTTGCTGCAGTACAGCACAACCTGCTGAGCAAGCAGAAACTCCTGAACCACCCAGAAACGAGACCAGTACGGGCGGTTGGCGAGGTCCGCGATTGCGTCACACCATTCGAACGACTCGATCTCGTTGGTTTTCGCGAGCGGTGGGTCGGGATGCAGCATCATGATGTCGCGGGGAATGGTTGGCAGCCCAAGCCACACCGAGACGCACGCGGCATCACGGTATGTTTGGTCCATCCGACGGACCTGGACGTTGCGCTCGGCGTGGTTGGACTGGTCGATGCAGATGGCGTCGACCCAGAGATACCTCCATCCAGCGCTACCGGCGTCCTGGCTCACAGTAGAGACAAGACCACAAGTTCGACCGGACGCGGAAGCGCCGACCGTTCAAGATGATATGCTCCAGTGCCTCATCGTTGCCCCAGACGTAGGAAACGGCCGTGTAGGGCGGTGCGCTGCGTCGATGCACTTCGGCGATGGTGAAGTGTAGGGCCGAGCGGCCGATGTGGATTGGTTCCAACAAGCGGAGCTCTTCGGCGCCCACAGTTGATGAGTACGTGAATTCCATGACTTGTTTAGAGAGGGACTGGATGTGGTTCCCCTCGGACTTGATGTCTAAACCCAGCGTAGGGTAGAATACGAACTTGCGGCTTTGAAAGCAACGTTATGCGGGGTAGCGGAAGAAACAACTCAGAGGTACATGTATGATGTACATGTACATGCACATCTAAGTCTAAGTCGCCTTTTCCGCCCCCCCTACGGAAGCCGATAGGCACAAAACGAACATAACACCTTCGCACTCAAGCATTGCGACCATTTTAGTTAGCTTGCACCCGGGGCGTGTTTAGAATAACGCTAGCGTAATCCCCATTACCACATCTTTGAGCCATGTTAAAAGACAAAGCCCAACGCTAGCCAATCAGAGCCAAGAACTTGATTCCTTGCATTGCATTCGATTTACGCTCAGAGTACTGACGCGGATTTTTCCTGTAAGCTGCTGTACGACTACCACTCTCCCTACGAAGCCTTCCGCGGTCGCAGAAAAAAACCCACAGTATGATTGTCCCTACCGAACGTCTTGCCTCACCGCCTTAAAATCACAGTGGCTCTGCTTGGCAGAGAATCCTCCTATAGCAAGTAAGCTACTGTGAATAGGCGGTGTGGTAAAACATTTGGTAGGGACCTCCGTACAAGGACAACACTCACACTCGCCAATACAAGATGTCTGATTCTGATGATGAGAAAACGAGGGCCCCGCCTCCCCAGCCGAGAACGAAGTTAGCACAGACGTTCCTGCTGGTTCCATCCCACATACCGCAGAAAATGTCGGATACTTGCATGGCCAGCGGAATACAGTAACTTACTCAGCAAAACGAAATGCTCGCGCAGCTTGCGCAGATCCCGCAGGACCAGTTGACCAACTTCCTTCACGTTTTAGTGGGCATGAGCACTGTCGCTCAGGGCAGTAATATATTGGTCTTATACCGCAAGGGCAGTCGCCCCTCCCGGTTAGGGCAAGCGGTCCCTCCACGCTATTTTACATGCAAGGCATCCGGTCTCGTGCTGCGTCCGCGCGGCTTAGTTACCGCTCGAGCGCTCCCAGCAGTCCCTCCCATCCAGCAGTGCGGAACTCACCTTCCCGGCTTGGTGACGACGAAGCTGTGCGCGGCCATCAGGCCGTGTCCGTCACTTAGCTGCACAGCTCGCGCTGCGCGCTTGCGGCTCCAGAATGGCGCTGGAGCCCGGTGCGCCCCCTTTTCTTTTTCCTTTTCTTGGTCCCCTCCGGGCTCCCAGTCCCTCCGCCTTGCTCAGGGTCTTCCCCCGCTCCCTCACGCTCTAGCTCCTTCGAGAGCCTAACTCAGCTAGTCTCCCAAGACTCATGAGCCATGTGACTATCCGCGTTGCACTAGAGCCGTTCCCAAGCGCCCTTATCAGGGCGTGCCTGTCTCTGAGTTGGGGTCTCCCGTCCTTGAGCTCTTGGTCTTGGCACCTAAGCACCAGGTGGGCCACCGTCTCCGGGGCTCTCTTGCAGCGGCAGAGCGGCGTAGGTACTCCAGGGACCCGCCTTCTAAAGAGAAAGTCGTTTAGGCCAATTGCTCCCGTGCGAGCCTATGTCAGCAGCGAGCTCTTCGTCTTGGTTAGCCCTTTGTGAGCTTGCAGTGGTTATGCTACAGGATCAAGGCTATAAGACTCGGCCGCTCCTCTATAGCGGCGCGGGCGTAGCGTGTCCGTACGCTCTGTTTCCCTTGCTCGACGGATCTTCCATTCCTCGATTGTAGGCAGTCGGTGTCCAATGTCACCCAATCCACATGGGGCACTTGCTGGGCGTCTTCGCCGCTCCGCTGTCGCCCACCATCCTTTGTGCGTTATCCTGTAGCCATTCCTTGGCCCAGTCTTGCTTCCTGAGTCCGGACACTGCAGGTGGGGATTTGGGGTTTTCGGGTCCTGCGTCGTCGTAGTTGAGAAGCTACAGTAGCGCTTATGTTGCGGAGGAGCTGTGCCATGCCAGTCCTTTGTAGCCGCTGCTCGGCTTTCGCCACCCATCTGTCGAGGCACAGGTCGATAGGGTTCAATTGGCGATGTCGCGCAGTGACCAAAGAGGTGAAAGCATCCAAACCGAATTAGGATTGCTTGCAGGGATAAGGGCGAATTCAGAAGGGTCAAGCAGGTTGCAGAGAGAAAGATGGCACCAGGCACCCGAGTGCTAAGGGATGAACTTTACCCGATCAAGGTCGACAACGTCAACCACTCGGTGGTTCTGGACGACGAAGGCAACATCCAAACTGGAGATGCGGAGGCATTCAATCAAAAAAACGAAACCACAGTGGCGAAGATGGCTTGGCTGAGTAGGAAAGACACAGCGAAAGCCTATGGATCGATGGTGGTTTACGTCACCAAAGGGAGCGATGCAAGGAGATTATTGCATGACGGTTTCTTCCACGCTGGGGGAGAATCGGGATACACACGGGTGTTTGAACGCCGGATGCGCCCGGAGCAGTGCTACAACTGCCAGGAAATCGAACACAAAGCCTTCAACTGCAAGAAAGCCCAGGTGTGCGCAAAATGTGCCAAGCAAGGCCATCACCACAGCGGGTGCAAGGAAACGATTAAGAAGTGCGTTCTCTGCGGAGGACCACACGAATCTTTCAGTCAAGACTGCCCGAAGCTTAATCCTACTAGACTTAGCCAGAAGTAGGACGCAATCTCTCGACTTGACAGTGGAGACCACTAACTCTTCTCCCTTTCGACTAACCCCCCAAGCACCCTCGTGGCACTAACCGCAGGACTCGCTTTAGCTGCTGAAGATAGGACGCTAAAGCGCGCCTGCAATTCGTCCACTAATCACGAGCTTTCGACGATAAGTCATATCTTGGCTTGAGAACTACTGCTTTGGGAATGATAACATTAAGGGCTTGTACGAAATCAAGGCAGTAACACAGGGAGGGATTAAATAACTAGCATCATGGCCCTTTAGGCTTAGCGCCTCCGGGCGGCATAAATATCTATCCATCCATCCCTCTGAATGCCTCCGTGGACCCTTTTTCATGCCAACCCTGCTCCCTCATCGCCTCTACATCCATTTCTGCCAGTCCTTAGGCCAACCCTTTTTCTCCGGCAACTCGTCATAGGCACAATCAAATTCATCGTCCCTCGCCTCCTGCGGCATGGTCTCGATAAGGTGCCCAGCAAAGTCGTCCTCGTTGGCCCAGGCAAGGTGGGCGCTACCCCAGTTGTGAGACCTGAACTTCTCCCACCATTCCGTAGGCATCATCAGCATGCTCACCAGGCCGCTGCGGATCCACACGCCCCGATCGTTCTCCGGGCCCTCGGAGTCGTCGGCCTTCTTCGCGAAGCGGAAGCAGTGCGTGCGGACGCCGTCCTTGTGGTACACGACCTTGGGGTGCGTGGCCGCGGGTTTCAGCGTCGTGTGGTAGTAGGGGAACTCCTTGGGCGTTTGACCGAAGCGGAGCTCGTCGTCCTCGGTCACGAGGCTCTCGTAGTCGCCGTGGCACGAGACCGACACGCTGCGCGGCTGGCCCAGCTTGGCCCAGACCACCACGTGCTCCCAATCGTGGCGGTGGTTCCAGCTGTCCAAAGGCCAGGACCAGGCAAAGTCCATTTGGAAGTAGTAGGCGTAGACGAAGGCGCACCAGCCCCGGTTGCAGCGGCCCCGGACGTAAACGTTAGAGCCGCCGCGGTCGAGGGCGGAGCGCGGGCGACAGGTGCTGACGTCCGAGTCGTAAGCGGGATTGAGCCCTTCGGACGCGCGGTTGTGATTGTCCATGGCGGGGACATTGTAGCAGCTGTCTGTGTCGAAGTCCACGAGGGGCTGGAACTTGACCTCAAAGTCATAGGCCCAGTCAATTCCGTCTGCGACAGGGCGGGGGGGTTCCGCGGCGCGGTTATTGACGATCCGGGTCGTCTCGTTGCCGGACCGCTGGATCACGGCGGCGAGGGACGGTAGTGACAGCACCAGGGCGGCGGCCGCGGTGACTTTGTGAAGCGCTGGCATGTTGAAAGGGGGATATCCCAGTGCCGCGTTTGCCGTTTCGATACGATCGAGAAAAGGGGACGTATGGTCAAGTGTCCGATGAGTTGCTGGAATGCTGAGAGTGAAGTGATTCAACCCAAGAAGCAGCGTCGCGGACTGAAATTATATGCCAAATACTATGATGAATACAAAATCCGAGTACAGGATTTTACGATCCCCTGATGTTAGTTGGAGGCCGTGCATTAGTGTCATTGGGCTATGCTGGAGTTCAGTCGCCGTTCACTTCACGATTCCTTGCATCTGTGTGCCTTACCACTGATTTTTGTCCGTTTGAGACTCCGAGTACGGATTACATCTCCATCGTATGATAGCTTGGATCAGGGCCCCACTGCCGCCGAATTTCATTCGCTGCAGGGTCTCCGAGCCGAAGTCATGGCCACGTCTTACTGCATTAGCACGCTGTATGCGGGTTTGGATCCTGTTCAGCTGAGCTTTCGAAAACCTACCCGCGGTCGACGGAACCAGGCATCGCTCTCACAACCGTTCGAAAAAAATGAAACAATGCTTCGGCGGTTCCTTGGAACGAAACTCGAGGGATGTCGGTGTTGTGGGTGACATGCACGAGGGGGAACATGAAAGGTAAGGTAAACTCGCGTTGCATTTGATCGTCGACTTATTCTTTCACAAGAAAACTCGGAAGGTGACCTTAACTAGAGTCTAGGTGGGCTGAATCCCACCGCTGTTCATCTTCACCCCGAGCGAGGAAACCAGGGAAGGGCGCAACTTTGATTCAGATGGAGGACTTGCAAGGCGTCGTCATGATTCTTCTTGGGCATGGCGCAATAGCGCAAAGCTCAGCGAGGTACTGGTATGGCTTTCGTTTGATGCGAGCTCGATGGCAGTGGAGAGGGTGCATCCACAAACTGAGTAATACTTCACGGAGTCGGATGCCAATTTCATAAGAGAGGTGCTATAAATCGTCGTAGAGGTCTATAACTTAAACGAGAACGATCCCCCCTTGCCAGTTCCATGTCTCCAAATCGCCCACAATCTCCGGCGGCGTTCCTGTTACTACAAAAAGAGTCCACGTCGCTCATTTCGGTGTGGTCAATGGCGCCCCTATCGCCACGGCGGTTGTCTTGGGTGTAGCGCTTGGTTATCTATCACTGTTCGTCTCCAAGTTCTAGGCACTCAATTAACGAACCATCTTCGGCCGTAGTGCTGACGTGAAGTCCGATTTTGCGGCACAGTTCCCTCCGAGACGTCAGCCCAAGCCCGTTGGTAGTTAACCTCCTTCTGCGACTGACCACTCCAGTCTCGGTGAACTGGAGCCGGCTCGAGTCCCGCTGGGCGACCTCGAGGTTGGAATGGTCACTGTACTGCGACGTTGAGAATATACCGGCCATGTTGACTTATCTCGGGCCAATCGACCTGGGAAATGGTGTCGGGAGAGGGCGGAACAAGCGAACCTGTGCTACCGCGCCACCCCACAAAGCATCTCGCCAGTCAAGAAGACTAAGCAAGAGTGCAGCGGCCCATCGAATATGCCCACAACAGATCACTGGATCGCTCATGCTCACCATACCCCAACGTTCGGAAGTGACAAAAGGCAGGACGTATATCGACGGTGGAGAGAAGAGGGACTCGGACGGATCCTCGACTACTTGCGTAAAGTCTTCAAAACCGGCGCCGTTCGAAAGCTCCGAGGAAACCTTGTCTACAGTAACTACGCCGACTGCACGCGCGCGCACTTGGTTTCGTGGCCGCGGTGGGTGTGGAAAGTAGGGCGATTAGAGGTGCTGCAGACTCCCCGAAAAACTCTCATCAGCGCACGAACCAATCAGTCACCTGACTCCCACCCACAGTTGCCCAGGCGACCACACCCTAGTGCCCAAGAGGTATACCAGAGTCTCTGGTTAGGTGGATTGGTGCCTTTTGCTCTCGGCGCACAGCAACCATCGTGGTGAACGGGTTCACGTCTGAACGGCAAGAGTTGCCCCAAGCGGGTTTGCCACAAGGATCACCGCTGTCCCCGATA